TGTACATGCCCTATGGCAAAAAGCTAAAAAGAGAGCCTGTGTTTTATTCCATCTACACAGGGTTCACTAATTCAGCCCCTAGGACCCTTAAGAAACATAATATGTCAGTGGAAATAACCAACTCTGCAGAAATAATAATTAATATAGTTTATTTCTAAACATAAGTATACGTGACTAGCCTGGAAAAAGAAAATATGCCTTTCTCAGGGTTATCAGATACAGAGTTTTTTTTTTTTTTTTTTTTTTAATTTGGTTTTGAGAGAGAGAGAGAGAGACGAGGTTTGGAGTTTAGCAAAGAGTTTTCCTATGGTCTGGCCCTAAAAGGCCAGACATCTAGAAGCAGGAGCTTATAGGCCATAGTGGGTTTTACAATTCTTAGGTGGGTGATTAGAAAGGAAGGTCTGTGTTTAGGGTCTGCCTCAGCAGAGTGTAGGTTAACAGCGATAAGGGGGCTTGTATTCACCCTTACTGTCTCAAGGGCAGGATATAGGAAGACTCCTGTTATCAGTGAATCAGAGATCTGCTAATACTTGTGGGTGTGACTCACCCATCACAAAGACACTATGCCAGGGACAGGAAGTAGGAAGAGTCCTGCTATCAAATGGGTCAAAATGGTCTGTTAATGTTTGTGAACATGACTCACCCCAGGCCCTGTGGAAGTGATTTTGGAAATAGGAAAAAGCAATCAGACTTCTGTCCTCAATGACTTCCTTTTATGTATTATTCAAGTGGGGAAAACTCAGTCAGTGCAAGTTGAGCTATAGTCTCATAACCCTGAAATGAGAAGGCTAAGTCTGGGGAACTAATACACGGAGACACTAGCGCACCGGCTTTAACAGTGAGAATCCTTGTTCTTGTAAACAGTTGAGATTAGATCCATGAAACCTGGTCGGTCTTCTGTTGCCAGCAGTAGACCCAGTCGTCTGTATTATCCTGCCGGGCCACATATGTATCCGCTGGGGCACAGATCGGTAAGACCAAATATCGCTTTCTGCATAGCACTGCTGGGGGTATTTTGGTTGAAATTTATGTATATTAGCTTTAGTCACTTTGGGCAAACCTCCTTCTGCAGGCACTTTGGAGAGTTTATTATATTTTATTAACTTAAAAAGTATCATACATATATTGGGGGTGTGTTGGAAAAGTCATAAGGCATTTTTGCATAGGAAAAAAAGTCATGACTTTTCTGACAACCCAATATTTTTTTAAAGAATTATTTTATTTAACTTTATTTATCTTTTTTTTTTTTTTTTTTTTTTTTTATTTTTGAGTTGGGCTTTGCAAGGTAAGAGATTGTGGTCTCTCTGGACAGAGAGAATGACCCTAGGAGGAACAATTAGGTGCTAAACACTCTAACAGGACCTCTACCTTCCCCCAGTGGAGAGGATTATGGGAGAAGTCTTTTTTTTTAATTATTTTATTTAACTTTACTTATTTATTTTAATTTGACCAGAGAGGGACAGAGTCTGTGTGTGAGAGAGAGAGAGAGATGGAAAGTGAGACAGCAAAATTCCAGGTCAGGGATTTGAACCATGGTTGGCCATGTGGGAGTCCAGTGCCCTTAACTGCCACACCACCTGCCAGCCCCACAACCCAATATTTTAATCCTGTATTCGTAGAGGGAAAAAACGAATGGGGCCAGCAGGTAGTTAAGGGTTCTGGACTCCCACATGGTCGACCATGGTTCAAGTCCAGGACCTGGCAACTTTTTTTCTCATTTCCCTATCCCTCTCTCTCTCTCTCTGTCACTCTCACTCTGTCTCTTTCTGGTCAAATTAAAATAAATAAATAAAGTTAAATAAAATAATTATTAATAAACTAAAATCATGCTCAAAGGATGTGATTATCATTTTCTGATGTGAAAGCCTCTCACCGTACAAGCTAAGTTAAAGGTCAGATATCTTCATTTTGGGGGCTTTGCACACCATGCAACAATAAAGAAAAGAAAGAACATTCTTTAGCAAAGTATTTTATAAGGGCTTCCCATTTGTAGGTGAGAAAGCAGTGATCAAATCCTTTTGTAAATAAGATCAGGTATGGTTTTCTTCCTTTTCCTTCTTGGCCATCAATCAGCCAGTTCACTTTTGTCAGCTGACTGTGAGCAGTACCTGTCCCCAGGGCACAAGTGCAGTCCCATGACCTTAGTGTGGAGATGGCACTGCCGTGGGGAAGACATGAGCTGCAGCTGCTCCTCCTGGGCTCTGTTAGGTGGCCCTGTACTTGGCAGGACCATCGTCCTCTTCCCTCTGGACAGCTGCCTGGGTATGCAGGCTCTCCAGGAGATCTGTGGTCTCTCTCCTGCTGGAGTCCTCCAGAGCTTGGCAGTTCAAAGTGGCAGGATCCTGGAAGCTTCTCAGGAACATTCAGTCTCGGACCCCAGCCCAGACCTACTGAATCAGGATCCGCATTTTAACTAGATCCCCAAGTATTCATGGGCAGGCAGCCCCTGTCACTCTGCTCTGGTGATCAGTTTCCCCCTGTCCCACTCTGCCTTTCCCACATGGTAATGGCCACCCCGTTTATCAGAACCACACGAGATTGGTGCTCTTTTGGAAAAATAATGTTTGCATTTTCATAAATCCTAACACTTTTCTCTTCACTTCTTTGATTTGCAGTTGACTGGAGTCATCCTGAGAGCAGCCAAGCGGTTCCAAATCAACATTTACGTCAGAAAATTAGATGAGTTTATGTAAGTTTTGCTTCTTTCTAGAGAGGCAGAGAGCAGTTTTGCTGCATTGATTTTCTGATGGGATCGATGTCAGGGGAAGTACAGCCGCTTCTCCCAGCTCTGCACTACTCTGCCCTTCAGGGACTTGGCATCATCAGCAGTTGCAATGATGCCTTGGTCTTGGAATTTGCTTGTTTCATTTCGTCACACATTTATAGAGTGCTTTCCATGGGCCAGGCATTGTTGCATACATGAACTCGTAACCTTGCATTATCCCCATTTTACTGATGGGGAAAACAAGGTGCAGTGAGTTTATGTGACTTGCTAAATTCACACCCCTAGTATTTCCCTCACCCACACCCAGTTGCCATCTCTTCCTCTTTTTCTGCTCCTTTGCACCCAGCTGGGGCCAGCCACACACTCATTAGAGTGGTTAAAATCATCTCTTGAATATAGCCCTTCCCTCCTACACTCACCTACTAGTCACTGTCTCATTAGGACTCCTACGTATAATCTCCTGCTCAAACTTTTCAGTGGGAATTTTCTGAATATGAGAAGATGCTCATTTTATTTTTTAATTTTTTTGGAGAGGTTTTCACTACAGGGCGCGTGCGCTCGCCAGACAGACAGAGAGAGACATAGAGACAGAAAGCGAGAAATCACCCCCCAGGGGGGATGGTCACGCCACAATCCCTTCTCCTCCATTCTCCTCTTGGGATCTTGGGCACGCACGCACACACGCCTGGTGTGAGTTTTAAGCCACCAGGTCCGGGACGCGAACCGTGGTTGACTACGTGGGAATCCAGCGACATAGCCATTACGCTAACTGCTGGTTCCTGATGCTCATTTTAAAGGACAAAAACAGGATACAGAACTATACATAATATGCTATATCTACCTCTCTCTGTGAAACGTGGTGTGCTCATCCTATTGAGTGCACCAGATTTAATCTGTGTCTTGGATATAAGAAACAATTGTGGCTTGCATGAATGTATTTTCCCCCATGAGTATTTGGGGGGCTATATAATTTAGTAGTTAAGAGCTGAAGTCTTAGAATCAAAATGGAATTATAATTCTGACTCCCACACTTATTCAGGGTGATCCTGGGCAAATTACCTCACCACTCTGAGCTGTTTTTTTCTTGTTTGTAAGGCTGGGACAGTAATAGCTATTGCGTGTGACTGCTGTAGGAACTGAGAGAATGCCCCCAAAATGCCCAGTGCAGAGTAGGCACATGGTCAGCGCTCACTTAGTTCTGATCACAAAGACAGTTCTTATGTGGCCTAGATGCAAAATGTGCCAGGAATGGGAGCCTTGCTTTGCCAGCTGTTACGGTCCCTGTGGTGACTCTAGGGAAAATAGTAATCATTTGATGAATTTGCTTTCATTATCTTGTGTTTTAATAAAAGCACAACAGGGAACAGCAGGTGGCGTAGTGGTTATGGGGGCTGGACGCCCACGTGGTTGATCACAGTTTGAATCCTGGACCTGACAGCTTGAAACTCAGGCTGGGTGCATATGCACGTGTGCCCCCAAATCCCGAGAGGATAATGAAGAAGGGACTGCGGCATGACCATCCTTCCTGGGGGTTAATTTCTTGCTTTCTGTCTCTTTGGTGAGCGCACACATCCTACAGCAAAAATCTCTCAAATAAATAAATAAAAGCACAACATAAACATGTAGTCCTCGGAATTGCTGGACTGACAGACTGGAATCTAACTTCTGATTGGTATGTGCAAAGATAAGGAGTCTGCAGTAAATTCTGGGTAACTTAATGAAAGAAGTGTACTGACATTTTCATGTAAACTTCCCTCTCTAAGAGAGCCAGCTCTGTTAATAAAGATGTCTATAAATAACCCCATCCTTTGTTTTTTTAGTGAAACGGGAGACATTAGGACCATGGTTTTTCCAGTGATGTATCTCAATGAGGTAAGTCTTGAGGAGGGAGCCGTGGGTATGTGTCAGCTACCCCAGCTCAGAAAGCTTCCATTATGATGTCCACTGTTGTAGCTGTGTGTGTTATGAGATGGAAAGGGGTGGGGGCAGATGAGCTTTCAAACTTGTTTACAATTCTCAGAAAGTTTCTCATAAATATTTATGAGTAGGGGCCAGCAGGTATGGTGGTTAACGGCACTGGATTACCACACGGCCAACTGTGGTTTGAATCCCAGACCTGGTAGCTTGCTTTCTCACTTTCTCTCTCTCTCTCTCTCTCTGTCCCTCTCTGGTCAAATTTAAATTAATTAATTAATTAACTTTTAAAAAATGTTTATGGGAACCTATTTGTGTCTCAGAGTTGATTTGGAGAAATGACAGGAGGAAATTTTCCTTCTCCAGAACGTTATTTCTGTAAAACTCTTCTGGGAAGGTGGTTATGTAAGAAACAAAAGGGCAAAGGTAAAACGAAGCATTGGCAGATACGGTTGAAGCGGGATAGATAGCCAGTGCGCTCAGGTGGACGCCCAGTTAGACTGTTCATCATCTCCTCCTCCTTGAAACTATGCCAGTTTAAGGTATCTGCGAGAAAATTATTTTTTCTTTTTCCAAATTTGCTGAAGGACAGAGACAGAGAAAGGGAGTGGGACAAAGCACCCCTCCCCCCCATGGGGCATGGTCACACTGCAATCCCTTCTCCTCCATCCTTCCCTCCTTTTAGGATTTTGGGCACATACACACATGTGCTCAGCATGTTTTGCAAGCCTCTGGGCCAGAACCTGAACCATGCCATTGGCTATGTGGAATCCAGCTCACTTAACCACCAGGCCGTGGGCTGGCCTGAGAAATTCTTTTCTATATTACATATCATATTCACTATAGTTATATCTCCTTAATTTCCCCTTTTTTTATTTTAAAGAGAGATTTTTGGTATAGGGTGCATGCGCTTGCCAGAGAGACAGAGAGACACACCGAGACAGAAAGCAAGAAATCACCCCCTGGGGAGATGGACATGCCACAGTTCCTTCTCCATTCTCCTCTTAGGATCTTGGGCACGCACGCACATGTACCCAGTGTGTTTTAAGCTACCGGGGATGAGACTCAAACTGCGGTTGACTACATGGTCGTCCAACAATGTAACCATTACGCCATCTACTGGTCCCTTCCCCCTTCTCTTTTAGCCAGTTTTTCTTTCCTTTTTTTTTTTTTTTAATGTTTTATTGTATATATTCAAGGTGTACAATATGTATGGGATACATAAAGATACAGGTATATATAGACAGTGCAGTGGTTACTATAGTGAAGTGGATTAACGTATCTGGCATCTTACATTGTTATTATTTTGTGACAAAAACAGCCGAATCTAATTATTTAACAAAAATCACTTATACTTTTTTTTTTAAAAGAATTATTTAATTTTTTATTTGTTACTATTATCTTTTTTGACTAGAGAGAGACAGAGAGGGGAAAAGCAAGAAGGCAAGCCACCAGGTCCGAGACTCAAACCACGGTTGGCCATGTGGGAGCCCACTGCCCCCTTGGTACAGAACTATGTTAGGAGGGTCTGTCTCTTTATTTGTTTAAGAGAAATTGTTGCTATAGGGTGCATGTGCTTGCCTGAGAGATAGAGACAAGAGTGACAACAAGTAAGAAATCACCTCCCACGGGGCTTGGCCATGCCACAGTCCTTTCTCCATTCTCCTCTTAGAATTTTGAGCACACACTCACATGCGAGTCTGGACTTGAATTGCAAAGTCGGCTGTGGGATCCAGCAACCTTAACCTCCTTACTGCCTGTGGCCCTATGTGATTTTCAATCCATGTTCTTTTCACAGTTTGAAGGGAAAATTCAAGTTTTTCTCCTTCAATAGATCTTCTATTGGCAGATTTCTGTTAGAAATAGCAGCCTTTAAAAAACTTTCTATTATTTTTGTCTGTTCCCTAAAAATACTTGTTCTTTGTAGAAAATATAGTAACAGAGAATTAGCAATGAAAGGACAAATTAAAATCATTATTCATAAAATGTAAGCCAGCCTGGTGTATTGTTTTAAATTTGTTTTATTTTACTCAGTGTGTTGTACAAATTTTTTTCAGCAACAACTTAAAAAATTTTATGTTTTATATGTATTTTTTTTCTCTCGGTTTTTGCCATAGGGCATATGCAGCTCACCGGAGAGTTACAGAGACAGTGAGAGGGAAAGTGAGAAATCACCTCCCAGAGGGGGGATTTGTTTTACACTTTATAAAGTATGTGCTCTTTTTAGAACGCTTAGGAAAAACCTTTTTAAATCTATTTAAAAAGTAAATCACTGATAAGCCTGTCTCTCAGAGACAAGTGCTGCTGACATGTTCAGACACTGCCTCCTGGTATTTTTGTTTTGATATTATATCACGTTCAGACATTGCCTCCTGGTATTTTTGTTTTGATATTATATAGTTGCAGACACAGTTTTATATTACTTTTTCCTCATTTAACATTATATTTGTGGCCATGTTTATACATTTTTAAAGGCTTTGTGATTTTAATTCTAAGATGAAGCTCTTACTGTTTCATAGGAAAAATTCAGGCAGTGTTTACCAAGTTAAAAATCTTAGGTCACTGGGGACGGTAGGTGGCATGGTGGTTAAGGGTGCTGGACTCCCACATGGCTGACTGCAGTTTGAGTCCTAGATCTGGAGGCTTGCTTTCTCACTTTCCCTCTCTTTTTCTCTTGTTCTGTCCATCTCTGGTCAGAATAAAATAAAGTTAAATAAAAAATAATTCTTAAAAAAAAAAAAAAAGCTTAGGTCACCATGTTATTGTTTGTTGGGGGGCTGCATATAAGTAGAATTTTTGAGGGGCCCGCTGGTAGTGTAGTGGTTAAAGCGATGGACTTTCAGGTGACCAACCGCAGCTCGATTCCTGGACTTGGTGGCTTGAAACACACTGGGTGCATGTGCGTGTGTGCCCAAAACCCTGAGAGGAGAATGAAAAAGTAGGGATTGTAGTGTGGCCATCCCCTCTGAGAGGTGACGTCTCGCTTTCTCTTTTTTTCTCTCTGTCCCCCTGGTGACTGCACATGCCCCATAGCAAAAAATGTCTCTCAAAAAAAAGGTAGGATTTTGGGACCAGCAGTTAGCGTAATGGCTATGTCGCTGGACTCCCACGTGGTCGACCGCGGTTCGAGTCCCGGACCCGGTGGCTTAAACTCACGCCGGGCGCATGTGCATGCGTGCCCAAGATCCCGAGAGGAGAATGGAGGAGAAGGGATTGCGGCGTGGCCATCCCCCCTGGGGGGTGATTTCCTGCTTTCTATCTCTCTGTCTCTCTCTGTCTGTCTGGCGAGCGCACGCGCCCTATGGCAAAAACCTCTCCAAAAAAAAAAGGTAGGATTTTTTGAAAATGCAGAAGAGCCTTTTTCTGCCAGATGATGTCCATGGTAGTGGCATATTAAAGTTCCCTCCATGCCCAATTTTTGCTTTGCATTTCAGTTTGAGACTAGATTGAATCCAAAAACAAGGAGTGAATCATCGTGCTTTCGTTGCCTCCTAGAAAGCTTGATTTTTCTCTTCTTTAGGAAAATAAAATAGTAGACCTGGAAGTGACCTTGGAAACTGCTGCCCCACTTCCTTTTTACTAAGAAGGAAACTTTGACCCTGATGGACCTTGGCCAGTTAGTGGAAGAACCATCCTAGACCCCAAACTTCTGGCTTAGTCCAGTGCAAGTTACACCTCAAATAAGCCAGAATTGTACTTACCATTTTTATGGAATTAAGCTCTTCAGATACCTCACCCACGACACTAGGCAGTAATTAATGGCTGTGCTCGGTATACAGAAAGTGTTACTGAAGTACATTTCCTTAGTTTTACCCCACTCTGGAATTCCCATTAGCTCGTAACTTCCCTAAACGCTTTCTGTCTAGACCTCTGGTCCTGATTAGTATATATGTGACCAAGAGAGAAATACTTTCCACACGTTTTTGAAGTCTTTTCTTCATTCCTTTATAGTCAACCAGCATTAATTGGGCACCATCTGTGTTCTGAGTGCTATACTCAGTGTGGACCTGAGGTGAGTCTTACCTTCAAGGACTCACAGGCACTGGAGACAGATACACAGACAGTTACAATGGAGAGTTCAAGAACCATGATGGCAGGTTTTAGAGAATGCGATGGAAACTTAGAGATAGGACATTTAGCCAGGCCTGAACTGGCCAGAGAAACCTTCTGGAAGGAAGCAATGCTGAGCTGGATTGTGAAGCATGACTTTGGAATTGTCTGATACAAAAGACATTATTTCAGTATTTCTCAATACTTTTCCCCTTCTTTTTCCATCCTGTTTTAAGAGTAATAAATATATAATGGGGTTGGCAGGTGGCATGGTGGTTAATATTTCTGGACTCCCATCCCACATGGCTGACTGTGGTTCAAGTCTTGGATCTACCGGCTTGCTTTCTCACTTTACCCTTTTCTATCTCTCTCTCTCTTTCTCTCTCACTCACTCACTCACTCACCGTCTCTGGTCAAATAAAAATAAATAAATAAACAAACAAACAAACAAACGAAATTAAATAAAATGATTCTTTAAAAAAAAAAGAAAGTAATAAATATTGGGCCGGCAGGTGGTGTAGTAAAGGGTCTGGACTCCCACATGACTGACCACAGTTCAGTCCCAGACCTGGTGGCTTGAAAATCACACCAAGCTTGCATGTGTGTGCAAAATCCTAAGAGGAGAATGGAGAAGGGATTGCAGCATGGCCATCCATCCCCCACCCCACGGGAAGTGATTTCTCACTTTCCCTTTCTGTCTCTTTCCAATAAGTACACACACCCTATGGCAAAAACCTTAAAAAAAGGAGTAATAAATATCTTTGGGAGAAAAAGAAGTTATTAATGAACAAATATTCTCTGATTTACAAATAGATTTTCAGTAGATCTGGCTTGCTAACAGGACATACCCAAATTGTGTTGAATGATTTGAAAGAAAGATATATAAGAAAATATAAAATATTATACTGTGGATATTTAGTCAAGGGACTACCAACTTCTTGTTCCTCCAGAGCGTTCTCATTGATAAAGAGACTGCGGGTCGACTGAAGTCTGTGATCAACACTACCATGATCATCACCAACATACCCTACATCATCATGGCGCTGGGTGTCTTCTTCGGCTTAATCTTCACCTGGCTTGCATGCCGGGGACAGGGATCCATGGATGAGGTGAGTCCTGGCTGAGCAATGTCTCCTTTAGCTGAGGAATTCCTGCACTGTGCTTTATTGAAGGGATGTCAGCTGGTCTGTTAGGATGGATTCTGGGGTTCTGTGGTGAGCACAGTGATTCATGGTCTTGTTACCACAGACCAAATGGGAAAGCGTGTCAGAGAAGGTGCAGTGATAGAACGGTACCGTCTAGTATTTGGGGCTCCCTTGGTGGGGTGGGAATTCCTAGATGTGTCCCCTGGTGTCAGCTTTTTATCTTTGAAAACAAGCTAAAATAAGAGGAAACAGTTAAACATCTGAGTTTTGGTGTCAGATGTCCGGTTTCAATTCCACTTGACAGCTGTATGACCCTAGAAACTGTGTCTCAGTCTCTATCACCCCAGAATGGGATAATAAAAGAACTCCCCTTAGGAGTTTTTTGGTGAGGATTAGGTGATACAGTCAACCTAAAGGACTTGGCCCCGTGTTTGTGTATAGTGGGAGCTCAATAAACATTAGCTATTATTAAATATGATAAAACAGCTCCAAGATTATCGAGGAAGGTGGCCCACACCTGCTTGTAAAGAGTCCCTCATCCTTCAGGAATCAGAAGACACTTGTGACTGGGGCACCACTGCATAATATTAGGTTGTCGGAAAAGTCATGACACACTTTTGCGTAGAACAGAAAAAAATGTCATGACTTTTCTGACAACCAAATAAATCATTGGCATGGGTGAGTAGTGACTTCCACGGAAGGATGGAGGGAACAGGTTGACTTGCCCATGTGACCAATAGCCCAACCCAGGAGTTAAGCAACCCCCAGAGAGCCTTTTCTGTAGAAACCTTTCTTAAATACAGCAAAAATATTTTCCCTTCTAGTTACCTAAGTGAGCAGACAAGCAGAAGAAAGTGAAATTGGTCGAAACCATCTGATTAAGAGAGTTCAGGTCTCTCTGCCTTCCATATTCTTCCACCACGTCTCTTAACCCACACTAGTCACTTCAGCCTGAGTTAGCTGTGAACCAAACTCTTCTGCCATTTCTAGCTGTGGATCTTCCAGTCTAACTTTGCAGAGTCACTGAGATTTTTCTAAGTACAAATGCAGCCTCGTGGAAATGTCCATGACTGCTCCTGTTAATGCAATGAACCCTCTTTGCATATTCGATAAGCAATTATCCAGCACCTCTGAGCCACTACACCCTGGTAGGTTTTAAGGCAGGAAGGAGGCAAATTCAATAGAGTGTGATGCATGTTGTATGGTCTGGGACAACAGAGAAGGGTACTGCCCCCACATCAGGGCAGGGGTGGCCAGAGAAGACCTTGAGATCAGTCTGAATCTAGAAGAGAGTGAGAAGCAAGTGGTGTGAACCATCTTCCTGTCAGTCTCTCGTCCTTTCAGCTTCCTACCACCCCACCCCAACTTTCCACATCTTGGGGGAATATTCTGACACCAGCACCTAACTTCCCTTCCTCTCTCTTCTGTGTCTCAGGGTACGGCAGACGGATTCTGACACCAGCACCTAACTTTCCATCTTCTCTCTTCTGTGTCTCAGGGTACGGCAGACGAAAGGGCACCCCTTATACGAACCTAACCATCGCCTGAGCTTGGTGAAGGAACTGTGGGAGCTGGCCTGACCTGGACCACGCGCCGCATTGTGAGGGACCCTCCGCATCCTCACAGGCTTGTTTCCTGTCGGGAGGAGGGAGAAGACACAGTGCTAGCAAGTGATGAAAGCACTGGGGTCAGGGGTTAGCTCACTGGCTGACCTGGATGGCCATTACGTTTTACAAAATCACGTGGTCTCTGAGACAGTTTTTTCAAGTGTTTAGCAAATATTTAATAAACCCTTGTATAGTAATTTTTTGTTGTTGTTGGGTGCTGGTAGCTCCTGAATTTCGTGACCACTATTGTGGGTATAATGTCTTTGCATCACTTGCTAATTCTACTTGGGTTAACTTATTCAGTGTGCTTCATTCACCAACCTTCGTGCTCAGAGTACATATATGCCATTTTTGTTGTATTCCTCCACTTCACTCCCAGAACAGGAGTAAATAAGAGTTCGGAACCCAGGGTGAAATGGTATCCTTGTTCAATGTATCATTCAAATGCACTTGTTTTCCTCTCTTAAAACATTACATATTGGATTTCATGCTAATCTGCAGTTCGTATTTCCTCCTTGGAAATAACCCGGCCTTCTGATTATGTTTATACTGCGTAGGGATCAAGTAGGGAAGGGATTGGATGGGTGGTGCCCATGAGTTGATAGTGATAAGCTCCTAAGGATTTTTACCTTGTACTTTTGTGAACCAAGATAATGCATACATAATGTTGGTGAGGCTAAGTGCAGATATTTCACGTAGAGTAGAACTAATGCTAGTTAGAACAGCTGTAGATAGTTAACCGTCATTTTTAGTTCAGACGATCTCAATGTGGAAGGCTTTTTCTGGAAGAACATAACGCATAACTGATCTCTTCCCCAGTCACCCCTGTCAAATAATAAGATTATGAATTATATTATTTAGGGATTTTCTGTAAAATCATGAATATAGAAAACCCATCCATCCTCTGCTTAAGTTATGCACACATTATAGAAAGTCTGGCTACATAGACATTTCTTTTGGTTCAGTCTTCTTGGTAACTCTGAAATTGTTTTCTTATAAGTTCTTTCTTCAGATTCGGTCTTTTCATGTTTCATGGCTCACTCCACAGAGAAAAACATGTCCTGCACTTCCTGTGACAATCATTTTGCTGACAGAATGACAGTTCACAATATTGCACAGAAAGTGTTTTAAACAAAGGTCCCTGAGACCACAAGCTGAGCCACTTCTGTAAAAGTCTTCATTGCAAACTAAGTGAGAGGACTGGGAATCAGTGTGTGTAACAGTATTTGGAATTCAAGCATATTTAAGGACATTTTCTTTGATTCTTAAAGTTCATCATTCATTTTTAAATGAAAAGCTTATGCACTTATCTGACAATGTACTTATTAGAATTTCTTGACAGCTGAATCATCCTAATGGATTTTTTGTTTAAAAGCCTATTTCAATTAAACAAATGAAAAAAAAAATCATGGATTTCACTTACATAGATTCATATCCCTAGATAGAGGTAACACATGACCTTAATTTACATGCCTCTCTTTACATGAAAGCAGTATGTGATATAGTTCCCTTCTTGAAGGGGCAGTTCATTAAACCATCAACTATTCTATTAGTTAAGATAGAACTTTTCCAGACCAGCATATGGCATAGTGGTTACGTCTCTGGACTCCCACATCGCCAACCACAGTTCCAATCCTGGACCCAGTGGCTTGAAACTCACCCTGGTGCATGTATGTGGTTGCCCAGTATCCAAGGAGAAGAACAGAAGAGAAGGGATTGAGGCATGGCCATCCCCCTGGGAGGTGATTTCTGATTTTTCACTTTCTGTCTCTCTGACAAGCGCAAATGTGCTATAGCTAAAATTTCTCTCAAAAAAAAAAAAACAACAAAAAACAACTTTTAAATACACTAAGTCACCAAAATGGGATAAACTAAATAAAAAAAAATTTGGTCTCTCCCATATGCTAAATATCTAGATTTTTGGAATCCAATCATTGGTCATAGGTAATTGGCAAATCTTATTCGTTATGCATTTACTTATTCACACTAATAAAATTGATAAGTTACGCATACTCCTTGGTACACTACAATGATCAGGGCATCATAATGTGTGAAGAGGAAATTATTAAATACTGTAAATGATCAGTTAATGTTGCATACATTTAGACTGAATACCACACAAGCAGGGAGACCAAACACATATTAATTCCATATTTGTATCACGACTTTTAATAGCTACTTGGCTTAAAATCACATTGGATTTTTTTTTTTTTTTCTATAAAGTCTGTGGCAAACTCACAAACTGCAGTCAAAATTATCGGTTGGTTAAGAATGAATGAATGTACCTATTTTAGCTTTAGGCTGAAAATAAACTCTTCCCTCATGCTCACTCTCTTGCACGTTTTCCTGGAAAGACCCATCAGCAGGGCTTTGTGATCAGCACTGAGACAGACCACCACAGACACAGGCGTCCTGTACTATGGTACTCACCTACACAGGGAGAAACCAAGACAGAGTTTAGCTCGCTTCTCTCAGGGAAAATTGGGAGTTGAGCACAAGACAGGAAATGGGCTTTGCTGTGTTTAGCCCTAGGTTTTTCCCATTCGACTTTATCTCAGTGTTCTAGAAAGAGCACCAATGGGCAAGTGGAACAAGCTCTACGCAACTAACCCCTATTGGGGTTATTACTTCAGGGGGGCTCATTTTTCATTTAAATTGCTCGGGATAAGAGTTCAGCAAAGGCCATCCTCTTCGTGGCCCTCTGGGCATTGATATTGGAGTCAATTGTGCCTATTAAAGAGAAGGCTGATCAGAATGCTCTCCACGGGGCTTATGCATTTGGTTCGTTTCATGTGATTCTTGACAAGTTTGTTTCTACCCTTATTGCAATGAAATGTTTCACTAATAAACAAAAAAATCTTTGTATAAGATTGCACTGGAGACCGTGTGTCATTGCGTTAGGCTGAGAAATATGTAGGCCATGCTTCTCTTGCACAGTAAAAAACTGAAGGACAAGAAAACATGGTGAGCACAAGGTTTACTGAGAGAAAAGAACAGAGACACACATTCCACAGATAGAATGGGCCAGTGCCAAGGCAAGCAGGCACGGTCCTTATGCCCAAGGTCTTCTCTATCTTGTCACTCTTACCTTGTTTTTCCCATTTCACTTTGAGGACTAGGTGAATGTTACAAAGTAAGCGGTTCTCTGGTCTCTCCTAAACCTGTTGTGCTCCTGATACTCTAGCCAGCACCTAACAATCGGATGTCCATTTGTCTGTGGAGTTTCATTAGAAAGGTGTCCTTCTGGGACCAGCAGTTAGCGTAATGGCTGTCGCTGGACTCCCACGTAGTCAACCACAGTTCGAGTCCCAGACCCAGTGGCTTAAACTCATGCCGGGCGCATGTGCATGCATGCCCAAGATCCCGAGAGGAGAATGGAGGAGAAGGATTACGGTGTGACCATCCCCCCTAGGGGGGTGATTTCTTGCTTTCTATCTCTCTGTCTCTCTCTGTCTGGCGAGCGCACGCGCCCTATAGAAAAAACCTCTCCCCAAAAAAAGAATTACTTAATTGCATTTATTATTTTTAAAAAATTCTTGCTACATGGCAATACACTCATCAGAGAGAGAGAAAGAAAGGGAAAGTGAGCAAGCATGCTGCCAGGTCTGGCACTCAAACCATGATTGGTCACGTGGGAGTCTAGAGCCTCAACCATCATGCAACCTGCCGGCCCCAAGAATTTTAGGCATGCCAAGTATGTAACTATTAGGCTTCCTGTATACAATTTCTAAAATACTGATACTACTATCTTATTCTCTCCATCTTTTAGGTCCATGTTTTTATTTTAAAACAAAAATTTTTCTTTTTCTTTTTCTTTTTTTTTTTAGTAGAATTTGAGAGGAAGCACAAGGAAATGTCTACAGGAAGTCTCCCATCTTCATTAGGAAACTCGGCAACTTCTTAATGGTCTCCTTACTAGACTTCCACTTAAAACCATTTTGTACAATAATCCCAAGATGAGCTTTATTAAGTTATCTGGTCAAATTTTCCAACAGCTCCTATCACTTACGTGGTCATATCAAATTCCTTAATATGCTGTGCAAGGGCTTTCCAGACCTGGTGGTTCCTACCCACCTGTCACTCATTGATTCGCTATTGGTTTTGTTGGTCTATTATATGTCAGGCTCTGTGCTGGACATGGAACAGGGACATGGCTCTTGCCCTCACCACATATACATATTCTGCAAAGAAAGGTTAGATTAACAAACAATATACTGTGACAAATGGTGAAAGAAGGCAGTGTGGCAGGACATAGGAACATACTGAATTTGCCGGAATCAGATAATTGTCTACATTCACCCATTTGCTCAAGTCAGAGACCAGCAAATTGTACTTGAATCCTTACTCTTTAAAGTCCAAATCATAAGCAAGTCCTACATATTCTGTTTCTAAATATCTCCCCAATGTATTCTGCTGAGTCCACTCCCAGAACTATTTACAGTCAAGTCACTGTCATCTCCCATCTGTGCAACTGCAGACTCCTAAAACCTCTGCCTTCCTCGGACATGCAACCAGTTCATTCTCTTTATCATATCACTTTTTTTCTTTAGAATTATTTTATCAAATCATAAATGTACAACATCTTCTTAACTCTACACACGCCCTTAAACTGTTTAAAGGAAAAACGTTATGTCTTATTACACCATGATCCTGGCTAATAGCGTTTCAAAACTTTGAGGGGATCATATCACTTTTCTGCCTAAAACCCATCAAAGACTCTCCATTGCTCTCAAGAAATAGTCTGAAATCCTTACAATATCTATAAGGCAATATTATAATGGTAATTTTTAACAATTTGGGCTCTAAGGTCAAAAAAACCTAAATTCAAAACTAGATTTGAGAATTTATCAACAAGGTGACCTTGGGCAAACTTCTTAGCAACTCTAAACCGGGTCTTCTTATCTTACTCGTAAAATATGGTTAATAACAGAATCTTACCTATCAGGTTATTTTGTGGATTAAAACACACCAACGGTCAAAAACACAGGTCCTAGTATCTAAAAGGCTCGTTTGCTGCACCAGGTCCACGCTCTCCCTCTTGTTCTGCGGTGACCCCACAGCTCAGTCATTAAGAGTAAAGCATATGGGACCAGCAGTTAGTGTAATGGCTATGTCGCTGAACTCCCATGTAGGCGACCGCGGTTCGAGTCCCGGACCCGGTGGCTTAAACTCACGCCAGGCGCGTGTGCGTGCGTGCACAAGATCTCGAGAGGAGATCTCTCTGTCTGTTCCGGTCTTTCTGGCGAGTGTCCACGCCCTATAGCAAAACAAAACAAAACAAAAACCACCAACCCAGCCTGCCTGTTTCCTCCTCCATACAAACGAGACAATAACCTACTCCACCAGAGAGCTGACAGTTAAAATATGGAAAGTGGTTAGAAGAGTAAAGGAAACACGTAAACAGCACATAGTAAACATAATGTGTTTGCTGCGATCCTGATACTCAGTTCTTCCAACCTGCCTCCTGATTCCTACCCCTCCGCCTGCTCGGCCTCAGGAATGTGTTCGAACATCATCTCTTTAGGGTAGTCTTCCG